TTTTTCTAAATGATTAAATTTTAATTTAGTTGTTCAGTATGTAAACAAACTGATCGATCAAATCAAATGATAAAATGTTGTCAATGTCATTTAGCATTTCATGGTGATTGTTTAACACCAGCAATGCCTGCTAAAACATTATCAGTTATGTTATCAGCTAGTAAAAAATATGATTGGTAATATTATTTTATGTTAGATTTTCGTTTTTTTAACAAAATTTTTTTTTTCTTTATTTTCTAAAGGCAATGTGCTTCTTGTGTTAATGCACAACAAGAAGAACTTGATCAATGTAATGTTAATGTTGATGAACCTCGTCAAATACGACCAAGACGTACAAATGAACTTGTTTTACGTGAAACAGTTATTAAAGTAAATTAATAATAAAATTAAAAAAAATATTTCATTTCTTTGCTTTTTTTTATTAATTTAGTTTGGTTCAAGAAAACGAAAACAAGAACCAAGTGCAAACAATAATAATAATGATATTCATGAAGAAGAAAAAACAAATAATAAAAGAACAAAAACATTAACAGATGAATCAAATGTTAAATCAAAACAAACAAATTCAAGTGCTGATACATCACCATCAAAAGAAACAATAAGTACAAAACGAGATGATGAAAAACCAACGACGAGTAAAAGTCGAACATCAGTTATTAAACAATTATTTACTAGAAAAACAACTGATTTTACTCCAGAACCAGTACCAAAACGAACTTCTTCGTCAGCAAGAAAAAGGTTTACACATTTTTAAAGTTTCTTTGTTTTATTGATTAAATAGAGTAGTATTAGTGTGTTCAGTATTGTTTAGATAGCATCATTGAGTTAAATTTCCAATCTATGACAATTTTTGTTCTATTTCTCAATATTTACATATAGTGTAAACCTTGAAACTTGAATTCAATTGAAATTTCATGTTTCAACTTTGATATGCATTGACCTAAACAGAACATACTTCGATTAGTGTATGCACAACAACGTGCATGGGTTGCAACTCTTTCGGGGGCGCTTAGCGCTCCCACACCGCAATACTGATATAAAAGGTCAGTTAGCTGACGAAAAGTGCTTACCTTCTGAGTGAATATTCGTAGGACTATTCGAGAGTTGAATTGAACTTTCAAAATTGACGCGTAGCAGAATATTTACAGACGTTCGGGTTTTGAATCATTGATATGAATAAGTGTATATTTATCATAGTTAAGTCTGAAATTTTTCTTTTGGTTTTTATACTATTGAATATTTCGGAGAAGAATCTCTTGAAAAATATACTTGATAAAGTTCGTCTATCAGATGATCTTTTCCAATTCACATGTTATTTTTATTTCTGCTTATATGTATATATAAATCAACTAAATAAACAATCGTATATATTCCTAATAGAAAACTGTTTGCTAAAAAATTCTATGAATTATCAATTCTTATTCGAAATGATTTCGAAAGAAGAATAATTATTGAAAATTGTTTGTATTTATTTTTAAAATATATCTTCTTTAGTTCTACTACTCCAAAGTCTCCTCGAATATCAATTACAAAATCATCACCAAAAAAATCCAATGGTAAATAAGAAAACAAAAAAAAACAAACAAATAATTCTGTTAATTATTAATTTCTATTTCATTAGTTTCACCAGTAACTCCTGCTCGATCAAAATCATTAATTATTGAACGTCGAACGCCAACAATTTTTAAACAAAAAGCTGTATCATTTCCAATAACAAAACCTGAAAAGAAAAGACGTAAAACAACAAAAGATCCAATGTCAATATTTGATTTTGATGATGATGAAAATGCCAATGGTACTATTGAACTTCATTCATTAATAACAACGAATGATAATGAAAAAAAAATAAAAAAACGAAAAAAAGAAAATGATCATGAAGAAAAACAAGATATTAAACCAAAT